CAGAAAATCCATAATCGAAATCTTTCAAATTAAATATCTCGGAAATTATGCATTTTCGAAATACAGTTTGGTTTGGGACGAATATAGAGCTCCACTAGCTTTATTGGTAGAGGCCCCACTGGTCCTTTAGCTACTTACCGTCTTCGAGAGGAACACGTGATTTTTATTTACACCTTTATTTAAAATTTACCGTGCAACGAAGCTTATTCCGTTTTTTGCAATGAGAGACAATTACTTCGGAATGCAAAATCGAACAAAAATTACAACATTAAAAAATAAAGATTCTTCAGGGCTTCAGGTTTTAGAAATGTGTTTCCTTTTTTAAAACGTACTATTTATGGACCCGCGTACTATATTTTTTGTGTAATAATAGTAAAAATACTATATTTCATCGAAAAAAAGCTGGCAACCCTACTGATGAGGAAACACCATGGAAACACAGTCAAAGCCAGGGTCAAAGCTAGTCAAAGCCAAGTCAAAGCGATAAGTTCTACGACGAACGAAAATTCGTGGTAAGAATTAGCCTGAATTAGCTAGACAACCAACAAAACGGACTGAGTTTATTATATTAAATCTTCCTGAATTGTTATCCTACGGATAATAGCCTTATAATAGATTACGTAGCATGTGTAAGAAATTTTAAACACAAAAAATCTGAATTTCAATTTTAATTTTACAGATACACAATAATTTTTTCATTAAAAATTTTCTACATATAGAATGAGAGTAATATTATTGATATGTAACGGCCATACCACGTTGGCGCACCAGTTCCCGTTCGATCACTGAAGTTAAGCAACGTCGGGCGCGGTTAGTACTTGGATGGGTGACCGCTTGGGAACCCCGCGTGCCGTTACTTTTTATCATTAATATTTTCAATAATCAACCATTTTTTTTTAATTATGACTTTAGTTGATGATTAGTGAAATGATTTTGACTTAATCCTAATTTTAACAAATTCCAACAATATGGTGACAACAAATAATAAGTAATACTTATATTTTGTAGTTGTACCAAATATCAAGAATTTGATTGTGGTTATTTGAGTGTTAAACTACAGAGGGTAGAGATAAGAAGAATTAACTTCGTTCATTGAAATGCGAGAACAATTAAGATGGCGGTAAAAAATACACAAGTATTCGTACAAAAACATATAAATATATTTGCATAACATATAGCATTTAATTTAAATTAAACAGTATTTAAAATATCAAAACACAACTAGAAACTAAAAAGAGAGAAAAAAAAAATGAAAACAGATATAATTAAGGCACATATCACAATGTTCAGATACAACCCAGAAGTATCTTCAGTTCATTTTGCTGAATAATAAAGAGATCAATATTATTCTTAATTTTAAATGCAGTAGAGACTAGATAATCTGGCTCAATTAAAGCAAGGGGTAATCCGAATTATCGCGTCTTGCATTTTTGTAGAAAAAAAAATATAAAAAAACGGTTTAAATAAATAAGCTTTATTCTCAAAACAAATGCATTTATTAATCAGATAAAAAATGCAGATAATATTAATTTTTTAATCTTCATATATCAAAGGAATAATATATATATTTTAATAAACACCGTGGTGTTTATTAAAAAAATAAGAAAAATTAAGTATTTTATATTTTAAGACCCTGTATGGTTTAAAATTCCGACATTTGTAGCAAAGTAATTACAGACCAACTATAGTAAATATTAAGTAATTCAGATTATTGAATCATGCGATTCCGATTACAAGGTACATAATTTAAGCCTGGCATCAATCCGGACTAGTACGATATCAGGAGTACGTATCAGCTTCTTTCCGTTTCCTTTCCGTTTACATAAAATATTATATCATGTAAATGAATAGGACCTTCCCCTAAGAGATGCAAGACCTTGTGGTTGGTGGGGAAGCTCCTGGCCAGGTGCTGGGGGGAATCCCCTTAGCACTTGGCTTTGTCTAACAAGCATCTCACTCATCGTCTTGTTCCTAGCTGTAGTGTCGTGGCCAGGGAATTGCACCAAGACATATAACGATGCCGGACGGGGCTACCCCTGTCCGTCGTACCAGGCACCCTCTACTGAGTGTGGTCATGTCTCGCTGGTGGAGGGTGTGGGGGTGGGGTCGTGGCTTAACCGCCTGGACCAAGAGGAGACAACCTCACCAAAATCCTAAATCCTACGATAGCGGGACCAGGTCAAAGGGATGCGTGGCTAGATAGAGGACTAGCCATTACTGGCCTCAACCTTGGGGCATCAGGGGGCACCCCATTGTATTTACCCCTTACTTCTACATGCGGGGCTCTGTAGAAGTGGACCGACTATCCCTAGCGACTAGTGGGAACATTATGAGATCTAGTACTAAAAACAACACCGGCGAAGCTGTGGGAAAGTCCCCTAGCGACACTGGGAACATTACAAATGAAAGTTCCAAGGGACCAAATCCAAAAGAAACTATAACTGGGGCGGCTGACACTTGCTTGGGATCATCCTCCACAAGTGGCACACAAGCTACCACCTTCTCCAGCAATGGTCGGGAGCCTACCTCTAGACCCAATAAGCGACAGAAGCTACCGTTTCGTCTACCCGGCCTGGGTCAACCAGGTGGAATAGACGATCCTCTGAGAGCAGGTCTTAGCGGAGCAGAAGCACGAAGATACCTCCGACTGCTCCACGAAGGACTTGCTCCAGAGGAAGCAAAAGCCAAAACACTCCTCAAAAAGGGGAGAGTAAAGAAACCAAGAAACAACCTCTGACTCATCTCCATCAAAGGGCAAGAGAGGGAGCTAGAACCTCTCACCTCTTCTCCGGCAGGGAGAGAAAAAAGCCAGGATGGAAAGCCGTTCCGGGTTTCCATCCAGGGCCGACACCGGGAGGCAAGCAGGGACGTATCACCAGCTTTGCTGGACAAGTGAAAATGGCGGTGCTGCCAAAGGATTGCCCAGAGGTTGCTCTGACCACCGACCAGCAAACGTCTCTAGAAGAGGCTATACTGGACGAAGTAGTGGCGATCGGATCGCAATACAACGATCTACAAAATGTGAGTCAGCTGCGTTTTGCGGGGATACACTTTCGGGTGGGCATGGTCCTCATAGATTGTGTATCTCAAGAATCGGCATATTGGTTGGTAGAAATCGCACCTAAGCTTAAAAATTGGCAAGGGCCGGAACTGGTTGCAGTGAAGGGAGAAAACATCCCAAAAGAGGCGGCCATCACGGTCTTTCTGCCGAGAAGCAAGGGGAAAGACACCACCTACCTGCTGAGCCTTTTGGCCTTATCCAGGGTCAGAACTTCAATGTAAGGACATCGAGTTGGCGAGTCATCAACTCGAGGGAGGAGGGTCAAGGTCAGGTCTTCACAATAGGAATTGACCTCAAATCCAAGGAGGCAATAGAGAAAGAGGGACATATCCTCTATTACCCGATACCTCACCGGTATCGGGTCTAAGGAGAGACCAAGTTAAAGAAGTGGAGAAAATGGAGACAGATCCTCCAGCCTCCACCTCTCGGGTTCCTCAGCCGGAGGCGAGCTCCTCGACTGTGAAGGGCGGCACGGAGCCAAACTCCAACCGTGGAAGGGTGTGTACCCTCGGGGGAAGAACGGTTGTCAGAGGAGGATGGGAAATACCCTGTCCTCTCTACAACAGGGGTATGATGGGTTATAGACTGTGATGACTGAAGGAAGGGGGCACAATAGATCTTTAAGGTCGCAGTGATTAATCCCCCCTCTTACTCATTCTACATTCTACATGAATAGGACAATGCACACTATCCGTTCCGTTTCCCTTCCGTTCCATATCCTTTCCTTCCATATATTTTTTGCGGACAGACTGAAGCGTATTCCGATACAGCTGGCGTTGTCAAGTTCTTATATTTGTACCAGCTCTGTTAACATTTTGCTGATATTTATTTATTCTTTGACCTCTTAATTAAATCTATTACCTTTTTCAAAAGATACAAATGTGTACTCCTCTTGGGTTGATTCTCACTATGGCTTCCGTTCAGTGGCGGCTTAACCATGAGGTCAAATGGTCAAAGCCCCCCCCAAAAAAATCAGGAGAAAATTAGAAAAACATATTTAAATTATAATAATAATAATAGCTCCCGTATATAGCGTTTGACGCCTTGGGAGTAGCAAGGTACAGCTTGCTATACTAGAGCCGTTCGGTATACAAGGAAGGTAATGTGGCTAGCACTACGCTTCAACCGCCTATTATTACCTCAGGATTGTGAATCCCAAGTACTCATTTAAGGCTGAGTCGACCTAGGTACCCAAACTATTTTTATTTTGAATAAAAATAGTCGGCTGATGAAATGCCGGGTGTGGGAATCGAACCCACACCTTGAGATTGGTAGACGAGAGCCTGTACCTCTACTCCACCGGGCACCTTTTATTATTACCGGGCACCTTTTATTATTATTTATTATTAATTATTTAAATTATACTTTTTGTGAATCAATTTTTTTCATCCTAAAATATTCGAAACTATTCCCAATTTATCCAGTTTTCGCTTGAAAACATTTTATTTTATCCATTTTCTCTACTGCCGGCCAAAATTTCATTTTGTCCTTCGTTCCCGCTATGTTTTACACGTATTAAACTCCAAGGTAAGGTATACTTCGTATAGAAAAGATAATGGGTTGAGGTGCGATATATATAGTTTATATTGGCCATTGACCGCGTCATTCATAAAAGGATTTGTAAGGTAGACAACTTTATATATACACTTGTATTTGGCAGTTTGCTGACAGACGATATAAAAAGTGGCGGTTTTTGTCTTTGTCTAGAAACCCCAGCGTGTTATTATTGTAATTTGTAATATTGTTTATTAGTTGAGAATCAATATAGTTCATTAAGAAATATCTAGTGTATTATTTCTATATAAATATATTACATTACGAAAGTTTTATTTTAAAAATTTGTACCTTTTGAAAAAGGTAATAGATTTAATTAAGAGGTGAAAGAATAAATAAATATCAGCAAAATTTTAACAGAGCTATATAGTACAAATGTAAGAACTTGATAACGTTGTTTCCTGTATTCATTTACATGATATAATATTTTATGTAAACGGAAGGGAGCTGATGGAAGATATAGTGGGAATCAACTTTTATCGTTCTTCGGATTGTCGAGTCTCTACTGGATATCATATTGCAAATGATCTACAATGATCGGCGTAGAAAATGTTTCAGGTCATGCATAGATTAGGAAGTACCGTGCTTCTGAAATAGGAGACGGAGAACTCGGCAAGACACGCAGCGTGGATTCATTTGATGTCTCTTATAAGCTTCATCTCCAAAGACGACTCCTTTACAATCATCAGAGTATCTGAAAATTACCAATGGAAAGTGAAACAGACATTGTTGGGGATGTTTTTTTATTGTACAGGGTGGGTCAAATTGAACGCTTTTAAAAGGAAACACCTTTTCCTATAGGAGATAGACATAAACTAATATCGGTGTCTGGAGCTCAATTTTTATCAAAATCATGATGGTGAAAACCGCACATCGATATCTGTTACCGTTTCGGAGTTACGGGGTGTTTTTCAAAAATGTGGATCTTTAACAAATCGTTGTAACTCTTTTGTTATGAAAAATTTTATATTTTTATGAAAACATTTCCAAAGCACCTTTTTACGTAGAATTTAATGGTATAAGTATACTTTTTTAAAAGTAATAATTTAAGAGTTATCAACAGAAAATTTGATTTTTTATATATATTTTTTACCTTTCCAAAAATATAGCACACTTGATATCAAAACCCACCTTCAAAATATAGAATTTTTAAAAGTTTACCACTTTTAACTAGTAGGCTTTGGACCCCTTATTGATGATCTGCGCCTATATGGAATTGGAAAACATATTTTTCCAGCAAGACGAGGCACCGCCTCAGAACGCTGGAGTTATCGGCAAATTTTTGCAGCCAATTTCGAAAATAATTGAATAGCTAACCAATATCCCAGCCGTTGGCCGCTTAGGCCGCTGGATTTATATAGTGCCTATGGATTTTTATCTTTGCGGAAGAATAAAGGTTCTTGTTTTTAAATTGCCCCTATATTCTAGACAATACTTAGAAGCACTTAGCGGTTATGCAAGGGTATCTTTCACCCTCACTGAGTTAATGAATTCCGCGAGAAATGTTCAAAAATGGTTCCGTCTGTCCATAACAGAAGACGGTCGATATGTCGAACACCTACAGCAAAATCTCATGTCTTGGTTTGCTATTTATTTTTACTGTTATTAAATATAGTTTAAATATGTTGATGTTAATAAAATATAGTTTAAATTGTTATAAAACTCGGAATCTCTGATTGAAAATATTATTTTCGTTTTAATTGCTCCCCACAGCTAGAATTTTTTTGCATTCCAGCCGGCGCCGGTCAAAGCCTGCTTATTCAAAGTGGGCGAATTTTTATAAACTCTATATCTCAAAGAGGAATTGAGCAAAATATTAAGTGTGCTATATTTTTGGAAAGGTAATTTTAAACTATTTTCGATGAATTAAAAATATACGGGCGTCCCACATAAAAAATCAATTTTTCTGTTGATAACTCTTAAATTATTAATTTAAAAAAAATATATTTAAACCATTAAATTCTAGGTAAAAAAGTACTTTGAAAATATTTTCATAAAAATATAAAATTTTCCATAGCAAAAAAGTTACAGCGATTTGTGCAATGCACATTTTTGAAAAACACCCCGTAACTCCGAAACGGTAACAGATATTGATGTGCGGTTTTTACCATCGTGTTTTTGATAACAATTGAGCTCCCAGACACCGATATTAGTATCTCCTACGGAAAAGGGTGTTTACCTTTAAAAGCGTCCAATTTGGCCCACCCTGTACAGGGTGAGTCAACGACAGAATAAAGTCCATTATCTCGTTTTTTTCGAGGTTTACAAAAAAAATGTTAAATATAAAAGTTATAGGGAAGGTTAAGATAAACATTTTAAAATTATTATAGAGTATACAGGGTGCTTCAAAAAAGTCTTGTGGATATAACATATGTTTTTTTAAATGCAACACCCTATTTTTTATTTTATTTTTAGATTCTGCGTAAAGTTCTATAAAATTTTTATATATAATGTTATATACCTAAAATTAATAGTTTTTGTAATATTAAACAAATGTTAGATTTCAATGTGATAGAAAATTGTTAGAGAAGCCATTGTTTCTGAAGTTTGACTACTAAAATTTGGTTGGAGAGTTTTATAGAGATATACAGGGTGTCCCAGAAATAAATGCAAGTATTTTAACTGGTAGTATAGTTCAATCCCAGAAACACGCCTATGAGGTTTTTTTCACAAAACATTTTTTTTTGGAAAATTCGAATTTTTTTGAAAATTTTTTTGGCAATTTTTTTTTGCAAAGTTTTTAGTTAAAAAACATAATTTCTTGATAATATGGCAACATATGTATTAGATTAAATTTACAAGAAAGAAAATCCAGAAAAGATCCAGTGGTTCTCAAAATTTTAGCAAAAATATTTTTTTTTGGAAATTTTCAAAGTAAAATAACTCCGTTATTTTGGACTTATTTGAAAAACGATAAAGAGAAAATATGTTTCTTTTATCGAGATCTACATCCCCTTAAAATACTTGCACTTATTTCTGGGACACCCTGTATATGTAAAGATATTTTAGAATATACTATTTAAAATTAAAAAGTCTCAATTTTTTTAAACGACACACCCTATGTATTATAATTTTTTCTGATAGATTTTACAAAATTCTTCAACTTTTATGCACAGAATAATGGAATACACTGGAATACAATTACTTAGTGAGGTAAAACCAAAAAGCCTCAAACTTTCTGTATGATTATTTTTTAATTTTTACTTATGTTCGTTAAAATCAAAGAAGCAATTGCCATACATTACTAACTTCTACAGATGCCTGAGCAATACATTTATATTTATTAGGCTGTATTAAGAAAGCCTCTTTTATTTTTCGTTTAGAGGCTATTGTTTCTTTCATAATAATTTTTACACTGTTAAAATCTACTCTGTGCCCTGTGTCCCATAAATGCTGACAAATCTTAGATCTGTGAAAATTGCTCTTTCTTAAGTAATCTTTATGTTCTATAATTCGAATATTTAAGGGTCTAGATGTTTCACTAATATAAAATTTATCACATGATATATGGTTTAGTGTGGGGTTAAAATTGATCTAAGTGTATTTTGTGTTTTGAAAGATGTATATGTTATATTGTTTTCTTATCCTTTTTATTATTTCCGAAACGCCTCGTATGTATGGAACTGCTGACTATTAGCGAGAATACGCTACCAAGAGATACTACGCGTTTTTCGACGATCAACTGTTCAAATGGCAGTGAACAAATGAATTGGTTTGTATATTATATTTATTATTTTAACACTCAAAGTTTTCCAAATAAAGTAAAGAAGCCGAAAAAACAATAAAACAAAACACATTTAACACATAAACTAAATGAAGGATCAAGCCAATTACTCGCATTATAGTTCATCCTTTCTTTGTAAGATGGCGCTCGAGTCTCGCGAATTTTGATAAATACTTTATTTTGTAGATTTTCTTACAGTTTTTTAGTTTACCAAAGGATTTTTTTGAAGAGCCTAACACATACATTCTATATAAAAATTCTAACCTCACTAATGCCGGTTTGGATTTTACGTGCCTGTAAGATTTACAATTTTAAATCACAACAAACAGCAATAGCAAAAGACCCTCGGTAAGAACTAAATAAAATGAAGATATCTAATCACTAAAAAGTGCAACAATTTTCTGTGATTTTTCTAAGGCGTTCGATTGTGTAAATCATAAGATCCTAATTAATAAACTGCAGCACTATGGGTTCAGGGGATTATCTCTCGAATGGTTTAAGTCGTATCTGAGCAACAGAAGTCAACTTGTGAGGGTGGATACCACGTTGTCTTCTAGCAAGCCAATAGAATGTGGCGTACCACAAGGCTCAGTACTAGGCCCTATTTTGTTTCTTCTTTTTATTAACGACATTGCTAACATAAACATCAGTGGCAAAATATGTCTTTTTGCGGACGACACTAGCTTCACTTAGAGCAACAAGGACATCACGGCACTTCATAGGATTATATCAAATGACTTAATCGCTATTAAATCTTGGTGCGATTCGAACCTCCTGAGTCTCAACATTTCTAAAACTAAAGCTTTGTCGTATAAAAACTCATTGCAGCCTTTTGTACTTAACAACACCACCATTGACGTCGAAAAATCTGTAAAATTCTTAGGGCTTGTTGTGGACAATTCTCTGAAATGGGACATAAATATCGAAGCTTTGTCGAAAAAATTGAGCTCTGCCTGTTTTGCATTAAGGTCTGTTTCTAAGGAGCTTAACTTGTCAGTGTTAGATGGCTAGAACTGTTTATTATGCACTTTTTGAGTCGCACCTCAGGTATGCCCTTCCATTCTGGGGTACGTGTTGTGCGACTCAATTTGACCGTATTTTCAAGCTCCAGAAGAGAACTGTTCGATATTCACTGGAACTAAACAGCTTAACTCATTGCCGGGGCTTTTTTAAAGAATTAAAAATATTGATTCTCCCTTCCTTATTTATATTTGAATCCATTTGCCTAATACGTAAACATGTATCAGCTTCTCAAGAAAGGCCATCTCACACTTATCCACTCAGGAACGCGGAGCAAGATCTTTATCTACCGACCCCACTCTCAGAGATAGTTAAAAGTTCAATATTATACAACTCGAAAAAAATGCACAATCACGTGCCATTTGAAATCAAATCCATAACATCATTTTTTTTTCATATCGCAAAGCATTGAACTCTTATTTACTAGACAAGGCTTTCTACGCCGTAAATGAATTATATTTTGAAAATCGAATTTGATCTTGTAAACACTGGTCTAATGTTTGCTATTGCTATATTTACTAATGACATCGAAATAAATTTATTTAGAGGTCATTGATATTTTACTATAAACTAACTAAATATTTTTGAATATTATTTTTATTTTTTTCTTCTTTGACATTGTAAACATTTATAAATGTTTATTTTAAACAATAAGACTGACAATATTATTTGTATATTGTTTTGTATTATCTTTTGTTTGTTTGTTTGTGTACCTTGTTTTTTACTTTGCTTGTTAGTTTACCTTTGTCTACAAATTGAAAAATTTTTTGACAATAAAGGCATTTATTTATTTATTTATTTATTTAGTGCGACAGTTGCACCTAAAACAAGTGGGGATACGCCTATGTGCACGATTGTCAATATGATAGTCAGTTTGTGCAGCAATTATGAGACCGTGAATAGAGATTGTCATGGATTGCAAGCAACTGCCAACAGTTATGATAGTATTGCCACTTCTGGCAATACTATGATTTGCCCCATCTATCCGTGTTACATCTTCATGTAACACCTCAGTCAGGATTGCCACCTTTTGTATTTAAAAAATCGGAACAGCACTAGTTGTCGCGTCGAAAAAACTACCCGTCTTAACAACACGTCTCCTTGGAAATAAAAGCCGTATTTATTTACATATATACAACCTTTATTAAATACTGAGCTTACTTGCAACTAATAATAAACAAAATCCACGAATAAATGATTAATTAAGAAAGAGAATGGAAAAGCGTAAATTATACAAAACCCGGTACGACTCCGCCTTCCGCTTCCTTTTAAAAATCTATACGATACTAAAGACTAAAATCCCAAATATTCAGTTTTCTAAAAAAATAAGGCACATGTTTTTTTGTGACTCAAGTACCCTACTTCAAAAGCCACATGAACTACGTCCCTCGAAGGAACCCTTGTCTTCGGTCATAAATTAATAGACAAGAGTTCCCAAAACCAACCGTCACCAACAGTAAATCCATAAACTTTCACTTTTGAATAGGATCGAGAAAAACATGTGCATCTTAAACTGAAATTACCTTTATTCTAAAAAATGTAACAGAAATTGTTCCCTAAAAATATATACTGGCTCTGACACTAGTGGAACCTTTTTTCTTAAATGTGAAATTTTATGTGTCCATCGGATTTTGAAACAATATTTTATGTATTTTTGCGTTAACTAAAAAAACTATTCGAAATTTATAAATAATTATGTAAAAATAAAAAATGAAAAGTTGAAAACAAAATTAGTTGAAAAAGTTGAAAACAGTCAATTAAATCTAAAACAACTAGAACAAAACCTAAACAAAATCAAAAGTTCCTTTTCTATATAATGTATAATTGGGGGTCCCCTTTCTATATAATGTATAATTGGCATTATCAGTTTATTTAATTATTTTTAAATGAACATTTTTTGGCAAAATAAAACACTAATTCGACACAATACACCAAAACACTTTAAAATATAACATACTTAGGACACAAGCATAAAAAGACCTTAACCCCTACAGTTTGTGAATAGCTATTGCCGAAGATGTAACACCTCAGTCAGGAGGTTGCCACCTTTTGTATTTAAAAATCGGAACAGCACTAGTGCAACCTTTTCTTAAATGTGAAATTTTATGTGTCCATCGGTTTTGAAACAATATTTTTGCATTTTTGCAGTTAACTAAAAACTATTCGAAATTTATAAATAATTATGAAAAATAAAAAATGAAAAGTTGAAAACAAAATTAGTAAACAGTATCGGTAAATCTAAAACAACTAGAACAAAAACCTAAACAAAATCAAAAGTTTCAAATATACAGGGTGGCCCATCGAAAACGTTCCGCAAGGCATAACGGCCAGGGTAATTTTTTTTCCAGAAAATCCAAAAACACGTCAATTTTGTTTGTTTGGGAACAACTTTTGCCCCAAAATGATTGCAAAATCTTCAACCCTCTAAGCAGGGGGTGTCATCCCCAACTTTTCAAATGGGAAGAGGGGTCAAGTGGCGCCGCAATGAAAAGAGTTATTATTCTCTATATTTTCCCGCTTCGTTTTGAAAATCGGTCGAGTCATTAAGAAAATATGAAGGATTGAAATTTGAAAAGTTTATTTAAACGTTATCAGAGTAAATGATAAGGATAAAATTCCTTCGACCAATTTGCTGTTTTTCTTATTATTTCTAGATGTTTTACGCATTTTTTTCACTTGCCACAAGGTTGATCGATCAGGTGCAGTCTCAATATCGTTAAACTGACCTACAATAGAATTTCCAAAAATACCAGCCCGCGACGATCAAAATCGTCTTCGTTGACTTCTTGTACCAACTGAATTTTGTACGGGTGGAACTTATGTACAATTCACGCCGGTCGCGGTCTCATTGGCTAATTTTCTTGTACTCAGCGTACTATCCATGGCAACTTGGCCCAATACGAATACCTCCATAGCTTCATTTACTACAGGATTTTCCCTGCTTCTTTTTTTATTCATAACGGAACCAGTTTCGTGAAATTTTGCTACTAAATCGCGAACAATTTTGCAATAAAGGTGTTTGTCAGGATGGCGTTCATTGAATATCTGCGCAAACCGATTGCCACATTTCTTTTTTTTCATTTTTGTTCGATTATATCCACTTTTTCTGCAAGTGAGTACACCATAATTGTTAAAAGTTTAACGATATTGAGAAGAACTTCAACGCACAAGTCACAGAACAGCTATCTAGCAACTACCGCACCTGATCGTTCAACCTTGTGGCAAGTGAAAAAATGCGTAAACATCTAGAAATAATAAGAAAAAACAGCAAATTGTACGAAGGAATTTATCCTTATCATTTACTCTGATAAATGTTTAAATAAACTTTTCAAATTTCAATCCTTCATATTTTCTCAATGACTCGACCGATTTTCAAAAACGAAGCGGGGAAATATAGAGAATTGAAAGCTCTTTTCATTGCGGTGCCACTTGACCCCCCTTCCCATTTGAAAAAAGTTGGGGGATGACACCCCCGCTTAGAAGGTTGAAGATTTTGCATTTTTGGGGCAAAAGTTGCCCCCCTCACAAACAAAATTGACGTGTTTTTGGATTTTCTGAAAAAAAATTACCCTGACCGTCAGGCCTTGCGGAACGTTTTCGATGGGCCACCCTGTATAATTAACAACCTTAAACAATGAAGGTATATAATTTACTCTAGTTTTAAAAATACTTTATTTTTTATCTATAATTTTTATATCCTTTTTGGGAAATTTCCTTTACGCAAGTTTTTATTATCGAATATTCATTAAACAGAGTATGAATATCTACTTCTTTTAATTCTAAAATTTCCAAGATTTTTAAATTCAAGAAATTAATAAAATTGTATTTTTAATAATAAATTTTACAATTTTATTGTTTAATAAAAACGTGGCTATTAAACAACTAAAAATCGGGACATTCGGGCTTTGCGTGGGGACGCGGGACTTTTTTTTGTCCCGACAGAATCGGGACGGGTGGCAACCCTGACCTCAGTTTCACCTAACCTAACCTAACCTAACATAACATGTTGCTAAGAAAAATTTGATGTTACCTTTTTTCCTCAAATTGCGTACCAACACATAATGGCCACTTTTCAACAGACTTTAAATATTTATAAACTTCATCAATAGAAACTATTTTTTCATCCAAAGCTTTTCTTTCATTATTAGAACAAACAACCTGCAATTTGTGAATTCGTTACAACGTTGAATAAAAAGAAGCAAAATATTTATACATACCGTAATAGATAGATCTTCTTTTAAAATTATATGATTTAAGATCTGCTTGCTTGTAGGATCTAGTCGCATAAATTCAATTTCTTTAGGTTTGTCGATGTACAACCAGCAAGGTGGCAATGCTGAAATGTTCTTTTTGATTTCAGCAATAGGCTCTATTATTTCCGTTATCTGATGCTCTACAAAATGTTGATCTTGTTCTGTTTGTTCTAGCTGATCATCTTGATTTAATGGATCTTGGATTTCATATTTTGGTTGTTCTTCAAACTGTATAATCTCTTGTTCCGATTGTTCATGCTGCTGCTCTTGACTTAGTGGTTCCTCTTTTGGTTGCTGCTGTTTTGTTTTTTTATATTGTTGTTGTTTTACAAATTGATCCTCCCTTGCTTGTTGCTCTTGTAGCAACTCAGAATTTAACTCAAACTGATGTTTCCTTGTAGGTAGGGCTTCCTCCTTCAATATTTTTCTCTGTAAATAATGTAAATGGATAGTGTCTCCAATGACAATTTTATCATACATTTTCACATCTTCTTCTTTAAAATGAAATTGACATATATTATCTCTAGTTTTCAAGGAAATACCTAACGCTTTCGACCATCGCTCTAATCTAGTTGTTGTCTGAAAATCAATACTTAATATTATCCTGATGATTATGACTAAAATGAAAAATTATTAAAAGAATACAGCACTTATAGTTAATTATCCAGGGTCGCTGATATGTATGGGAACAGTCGATTATTAGATAAAATATACAGGGTTGTTCACCACATACGACACGGAGTATTGTAGCTAAACGATTAGGTTTTTCCAAATTTTAAATTTTAGGTTCGTTGAAGGGTTATTAGAGCTAAAATTTAAAAATATTTTGACAAGATACAGAGTGTCCCAAATAAGTAAAAAATGTTATAGTTGTATTTTTTTAAATGGAACACCGTGTATATTATTCTATTTTTAGATTCTACGATTGAAATAAAGGTAAATTTGATTAAGGTTTGGTTAAACCTTACCGTTTTTGAAATATTTTCAATTTTATGAAATTCCAGTAAAAATTTTAAGGTTTCATTTCTCCAACGGTATCGAAGTTTTTAATACTAAATATTTAGTGAAGTTTATTTACTGATCAGATATTGTGTTGCAGTAATAAAGAAAATACTGTCTTATACAGAGTGTTTAAAACTTTATTATAATAATTACTAGCTTTAAACGGCAATAACTTGTTTATTTTAAATGGAACACTTTGTATATTTTACGAGAATAAGATGCACAATTTAATTGTCTATCAAATTGTATTAAAACATTTTTTACCTATCTCTTCAAGTTTTCGTAGAAAATGCATTTTCTTATAATTTAGAAAATGTTATCATTTATCACTATACCTATGGAATATTGACATTTTAGATTTTTTTAATGATGTAACAACTTTTCAAAGAATACTGATACGAATATTGTCGATATAGTTCGCTTATTTTATTAAAAGATAAAAAGCAGTTTAAATATTTTTTTGTTAAAGAGAACTAATTAATACGATCCCAGTATTTCAAACTACATTAATTGACTGTTTATGTTGATTAATAATAGTTGCTCCAAATACTAAAAAACTGAATTTTTATGTATATTAGACAGTGTAGTAAAAAGTAACACCTTTTATAAATTGTATTTCACTTTTTGACGAATGCTTATTTATAACAACAGAGGCGTTCATTTTCATAACGTATTATGGTATTGATTTCTGAGTCAAATTCACATTTATTTAGACGAATGTAATAATTAAAACACTTAAGGTATGTAATTAACTAATTTTTGGGCGGAAATAATGGTGGTACATTAATAATTAGTAATAATTGGTATATACTTTTACAAATATTTAAATAGTTTTCGTTTTGTAAACAAATGGGCTTGCAATATTATTATCTTTACTACCAGTACATTTTCTACGTATTATGTTGCTTTAAAAAAACTAACCAACCAAACCAAACGAGATCTAAATTATAAGAAAATGCATTTTCTACGAAAACTTGAAGAGATAGGTAAAAAATGGTATAATACAATTTGATAGACAATTAAATTGTGCATCTGATTCATGCAAAATATACAGGGTATTCCATTTAAATTAAACAAGTTATTGCCGTCTAAAACTAGTAATTATTTAAAATAAATTTGTTGACACTCTGTATAAGGTAATATAATTTTTATTACTGCAACACAATATCTGATCAATAAGTAATCTTCAGTAAATATTTAGTATTAAAAACTTTAATACCATTGGAGAAATGAAGCCTTAATTTTTTTACTGCAATTTCACAAAATTGAAAATATTTCGAAAACGGTAAGGTTTAAGTGTGATAAACCTTAATCAAATTTACCTTTATTTCACTCGTAGAATCCAAAAATAGAATAATATACGGGGTGTTCCATTTAAAAAAATACAACTATAATATTCTTTACATATTTGGGACACTCTGTATCATGCAAAATTATTTTTAAATTGTAGCTCTAATAGTTCCTCAACGAACCCAAAACTTACAATTTGTAAAAATCTAATCGTTTAGCTACAATACTCCGTGTCGTATGTGGTGAACAACCCTGTATAAGAGGTACCGCAAAAAGTTAAATATAATAGTTAATATAGGGTTTTTAATTATGTATTAAGGTTGATTCTGACTATACCTTCCATATCACCTCCCTTCCGTTTACATAAAATATTAAATCATGTAAATGAATAGGACAATGCGCACTATCCGTTCCGTTTCCCTTCCGTTCCATATCCTTTCCTTCCATACATTTTTTTGGCGGACGAACTGAAGCGTATAGCGTTGGAAAGGTAGGAAATAGCGTTGTCACGTTCTTATATTTGTACCAGCTCTGTTAAAATTTTGCTAATATTTATTTATTCTTTCACCTCTTAATTAAATCTATTACCTTTTTCAAAAGATACAATTTTTTAAAATAAAACATTCGTAATGATGTAAATTGTACAGGGTGGCTCGAATTCGACGCTCATCATTGGGGTTTCGGAAACCATAAAGCCCCATACTCACACTTCGCTACTTCACTTTCTTCCTTCGTCGCGTCCCTTCGTCCAAAAATGTTATATTTACTATGGGAAATTGTCGATTTTATGTGTGTTCCTTCGTTCCTTCGTCAAAACGCTCCTTCGTCCGTTTACTTCCTCGAAACGCTCCTTCCCCGGTACTGTCGGTTTTTGGACGAAGTAGCAAAGGAATTATCACGAACACAAAAAAATATTAAAATATATAAAATATATAAATCGATCTTGGATTTCATTCGTAGTTGATTTCTTGATTTGGCAGTACGTCTGTACAGGGTGTCCCATTTTCGTATGTTTTGCAGGGTTTCTTGTTTATGAGTCGAGATACAAAGATGCGGTTCTCACATTACGCTGTTACTTTTTTATGAAACTAAAGATGCTGCATACAGATATGTCCTAGCTCTCTTACTTCCTAAAATACAGGGCGAATCTGAAATTGTTGCATTTTTCGATCCCCTTTGTATCATAACTTATCGAAAAGGTGAAAACGGTCTCCCGTACAGTTTTTCACGTAGAATGCAGTGACGTAACTATTTCTTCGTTGGAATCTGTCTTTTTTAAATTGACTAAAACTTATATTATATTTTTTTTAAATGCGATATTTTGTATATTATTTTATTTTCCTTGTTACGGGCTTTCTAAAATACTTATTTTCATAAACGGGGTAAAAATGCATTATTTAACTTTATTACATAGTCGGCCGGTTTAATTTAGGTAATCAAAACAATCAACTAAGTTATTCGACGTAAAATGTTGGTTATTGGCATGTTATTTGAAAGCAGCACAAGTTCAGTTTCCGTGTAGTTTATCAAAATATCACGATGCAAAGCAAATTTATGTGGTAAAATTAAGTTAAGTTATAAAAGCCGTTTAGCAGTTAAGCAGTACCTAAATAAAAAAATATAGAGCATATTATAATTTTAGAAAGCTCATAACAAGGCAAATAAAATAAAAAATAATATATAGTGTCCTGTTTAAAAAAAAGAACATAAGTTTGAGTCATTTTTCGAAATAGACAGCTCCCTACGAAGAACTAGTTTCGTCACTGCATTCTACCTGAAAAACGAGACACGGGCGGTGGGTAAGTACTCGCAATGGGTAGAATAAAACAAAATCAGGGTATCCGGTATATACCTGTACATTTAGATGAACCAGTCTAATTTTATAAAAGGTATTTTCAACGACCGCATAGTAAATACCCAGCATAATACCAGTAATATCAAGAATACGAGTATATCTAAAATATTCCTTATATATATATATATTGGTATATTTCTATTCCCGGTATTATCCCGGAAACTCCTTTTATTAAAATTAGGATGGTCATCTAAATCTACAGGTAGGTATATACATATACATATACCTAGATTTTATTTATCTACAAATTGGGTACTTACCCACCGCCCATCACTGATCCTTTTCACCTTTTCGATAAGTTATAAGATAATCGAGATTCAAAGGTTATCGAAAAATGCAAAAATTTCTACTAATTAAAAAATAAAAAGTAAAAGAAGGAAATAAGAAAAAAATTTAAACTAAGATAAATCTGGATAAGGATAATCTGGGTGTAGCATATTTAGTTTCATAATAAGTAGAACAATGATGTGAAAACGGCATCTTTATATCTCTACTCATAAACCAGAAACCCCATAAAACACACAAAAATGGGACATCCTGTACATGTAGCAATCGCCAGTTGATATAAAAATAATTCACACACAGTAGTCTAAAAAATGGAAGAAAAAGACAATACTGTCTTCATATTTGTGAAAAAATACATATCCATATTTATGTAATCGTAGCGACAAAAATAAAAAAAATAGAAATAGTGTGCATGATGCCTTTACAAAAATATCTGAAGAAATGGGGAATGACATCAACGTTTAATTAGTATGTCATGTTTCGATATAAATTACAAAATAAACTTTACTCAATTGTTGACTCGCCTTGTACATTCATACTGATATACCTTGTACATGATACTGAAATATTCGGATTTATTAAAAAAATATATATTATTAAAATTCAATTTTTATTTTTGACACGACAAAGAATTGCAGTTTTATAAAATAAAAATTATGCGCCTTTCGGATTTTTTAAAAATTTTAGAAGTTACTAGATATTTCGTAATAAACATGTATCGGCTATATTAAAAATATTTTGTGGTGTGTTGTTGCATAATCGACTAATTTCCAAGCATCGAATGGACGAAGGAAGGAAGCGAAGGAACGAAGGAACGAAGTGAAGTGACGAAGTAACGCAAGGAAGTAACGCGAGGAAGGGACGAAGGAGCGTAGTGTGAGAATGGGGCTTAAGAGATACAGGATCGGTTAAATGGAGGCAAAGTTGCGCAATTTGATGCTCAATAAAATGCCGTATTGCATTTTGAAAAATTCCGAATACTTCCGAATATATTCGAAAAAAAAAACGGAATTTTCAATTTTGTTTTCTATTGTTTCCTGGCTTTATTTGTTAAGATAATTTAAAATGAAAAACACATTTTCATGGCCACATTTTCTGTTCTATAACTCTGTGTGATTAAATATTGACTCTGACGTTTCGGCTTCTG